TATTTTATGACATGACACCCATATCTGGTACTTGCCAAAAAAGACTGGTTTATTATGTGCGTAGTTAATTAAGCTAAAAAATATATACTGACATTAGGCTTCTTTTAGCCTTGCCCTGGAGTTTGTTCTTCCTCCACCTATGCTTTCCAATGTAAATCACTATTTACATAGTATAATAGTATTAAATTGATCTCCCACACATGTGTCCCACAAAATCACATCTATGTCCTGCAACAAAGCAATAACCACGGTCATCTTATTTGTCGGCGACTTCCACAAAACTGTAGGTGAGTGAAAATAAGGGCTAAAATTGTGCAGTGTGTGCCCAGCAATACTGTTTGCAAAAATTACAAGAATAAAATGGAAGATAAGATCACTCATATATTAATACGAGCCTTCCCTGAGGTGGAAATTCAACATTTGCTTAAAGTTAAACAAGTTCTATCCCCTATCCCTTTGTTGAATAAGATAAAAAATAGACTTTTAAAGTCAGATTTTGTATCCTTCCCGCAAAGTGCCTTAATCTCATTGCTATCTAGAGGAAACATTTGACACATTAAAGTCACACCAGGGTTTGTAAGACGCACACAAGTGCACACCTTTATCCCTGATCTTTAAGTAATTCAGCAACCCCTGAACGTACAAAAAATAAATAAATGAAAACTCATGGTCCATCCTGATTCCTTTTTCTTCCCCTCTTTATGTTTTTTTTCCATTACCCATTTAAATATCCCTTCATCTGTATTTAATAATCTTTCATGTCGTTGTCTGCCTGTATGTCATTTAATCTTTTTAAAAGTCATTGTTGTCTTTATATGAAGGTCATTTGTATTAAATTATGAGCTACATTCAAATGGACACATGATTTGTTTCCTCAAGAGTTCCAGAGATAATATCCTCCGACCTTTCTCTCTAATCCTGGCTAACTCCGTTAATCTCTCTAGAATCTCTTCAATATTCCCACATAAACTCTCAGGGAACTTATTATAGCACTTATAAGCAGCAGTGCCATGCACAGACTTCCTGAAATTCTCCTCAGCCTCATGTGGCCAGGGAGAAGAGAGTCGATGTGGGAAGACGTTAAAGAAGGAAAGTAGTTAATTATGAAATCATGAAATGTTTTATGAAAATTGGCCTGTAATTGCTTAAGACGACCATATCAGCATTGCTAATTGCTGTTAGGATTTGACCATTATTAGAGAAAGTATGATAACGTTCAATCCCAGTGTTCCATGCAATCAAAATTAATCTGAATGTATTCAGAATGAAGGAAATGTATTGGTGGTCTCATAATGTTTGTTATGGCTTGGTGTACAGCAACTCTTCACCACAATCTAGATTTCTATCTAAGGATTTCTGTACATAATTGACATTACATTTTAGGAATGCTTTTAGTGTTACATGCTCATTGAAAACCTCTTTAAACAACATGTTTATATGTATATTTTTAATGATAAATAATGTAGTTTAATTATATGATATTAATTGAAAGATTGCATGCAATATTACAATATTACAGTGTAAAAATACTTTCCCCTATGAAAAATGTAACCCAAATCTAATGTAAGTTTTGATCATGCAGAACATTAAGAGGCCTTAAAAACATATGATACAATAGGCTTTATAGGGTTAAACATACTTTATATTCTTACTTATTTGTCTTAAAGGGGTCATATAATGCGATTTAAATTTTTCCTTTCTCTT